CCCCCGGGAGCCCCTGAACCATTTTTTAAACTACAAAGAGCAGAACCAGAATACAAGAGAAGAGTTGAAAAATGAAAGAAAAAATGCAGAAGAACATCTAGAAGAGAAATATGCATGGGTGTGAAGAACTTCACACACACACACACAAACACAGCCTTGATTGCATTCTATAGAGGACATTATCACACTGTCCTCTTCCTTCTGGGGGATTTGTCACCCTCAGTGATCCTGCCCCCATAGTCACATTTTTGTATAGTCCCCTCCCACATTGTGTGAGGGTTGCCTTTGCAATCAATAGGATGCAGCAGAAGTGGTTTGTCACTTCTGAGGCAAGGTTCTAAAGGACACTGACTTCTGCCTATCTCTCTCTCTCTCTCTCTCTCTCTCTCTCTCTCTCTCTCTCTCGGATTGGTTGCCCTGAGGGAAGCCACTTGCCATGTTGAGATGCTCTCCTGGCCAGGAAATGAGGCACCTGCCAATAGTCGTGTGGTGCGCCATCCTGGAATCAGATCCTGGAGCCCTGGCCGAGCCTTCAGGTGACTGCAGCCTGGCTGAGAGTTGCAATGCCACCTCAAGAGAAAACCTGAGCCAGAACTGCACAGATGAGCTGCTCTGACTCTCAGAAATGGTGTGAGATAATAAACATTTGTTGTTTTAAGCCACCAGATTATGGGCTATTTGTTATGTAACAACTAATAAACTGCCTGCGAATTTGTGAGTCTAGCAATTTCCTAAGAACTATATTGGAAAGGACACTGGTCCCACTATTATAATATATGCACAGGCGGTTTGTTGGACACCCCCTGAAATTCTGGACATCAACATATTGAGTAGATAGAAGACCAACAGAGTGACTTAGAAAAAAACAAAACAAAACAAAAACAGCATCACTTCCTTGGGACTTCATTCCTTTTGTCACTTCTCTCATTTATGTCAATTGAGTTCCCCTTCAGCAGGTTCCTCTGGCTGTAAATCTAGAGCCTCTTAAATTGGTGGGAGTGTTGACACTCCTCTCACCAGCTGTTTCTTCTGGAACTCTGTGTTCAACTTGAGTTTCACTTCCAGCGTTGTAACTTTTGCTTTCTTTGCTGCAATTTCATCTTTATTGGCCAATTCCCCCTTAATTATTTTTTTTTAAATGCCACTTGAATGTGTATAGTAGTCTGACTCCATATTTGACCTTTGATTGATGACAGCTTTCAAGCTCCACCCCTCTTTTCTTCTCCCTCTGCCCTGTGTCACATCAAGCTGATGTGAAAGCCCAGGCACTCCCCTCTTTGACTCTGGAGGAAAGTTCCAAGTCACACAAGCCCCAGCTCCAGCCCCACCCCTTAGTCACAATAAAACCTTTAAGGCAGTCCTTCCCAGCTCTCTCAAGCCATTTTTGGACTTGAGTGGTAACTATCCCTGTTCACTCCAGAAAGCCTCATTTTTTTGGTAAAGATTTTATTTACTTGACAGAGAGAGAGAGAGCACAAGCAGGGGCAGCAGCAGAGGGAGAGGGAGAAGCAGGCTCTCTGCCGAGCAGGGAGCCCGATGTGGGGCTCGATCCCAGGACCCTGGGATCATGACCTGAGCCCAAGGCAGATGTTTAACTGACTGAGCCACCCAGGGGCCCTCCAGAAAGCTTCATTATATGAGTAATAAACCTTTTCATACCCTCTTTGGGCATGTGGAGTGCCATCAGTTTTGATATCCAAACTGAATTTGTGATGGCTCGGAGTCCATCTCATTTCTTCAGGGTATCAAAGATAAACACAGCTGGTGGACATTAGTTAAGGCAGTAAAAATAGATTCTATCTAGTAACTACTGACAGTAGGGGAAAGAGCTGAGAATTCTAATTTTGCGGAGGTGATAGGATATTTTAAAAGGAGAATGTGGTGGGGAACAAGCAGAGACTCACGTAAAGTCAGAAATGAAATATTAAAAAGTATAAATGTGGGGCGCCTAGGTGGCTCAGCTAGTTAAGCATCCAACTCTTGATTTGGGCTCAGGTCATGATCTCAGGGTCCTGAGATGGAGCCCTGCCTGAGGCTCCACGTTGTGCATAGAGCCTGCTTAAGATTCTCTCTCCCTCTGCCCCTCCCACTCAAGAGCGTGCTCTCTCTAAAAAAATTAAAAGTATAAATGCAATTAGGTCAGCTGCATCCGTAATTATCAGAATTAGAATTCTGTCCTCCCTCAGAGACTGAGAGACAGAGGCCCTATCCTTCCTGAGGAATACATTTCATTTCAAGGAAACAGCTTTCAGGTCCTTGACAAAGATACTTCTGAGTTCTAGGAGATATAGATACATCTGAAAGGGACAGAGGAAGAATTCATAATTAGTGAATGCTCTAAGGGAAGTCAGCGGCCTGTCCTCACTGTTGGCTGGCACAAACAGTAAATTCTGGCAGAGTTGAGTTTTTTGGGCTGACATTTTAATGGTCTGTGTGTGGCTGACAGGCAAGATGTGGGGAGGTGGGCATGGGAGCGGCTACCAACAGCCTCATGTTGGTAGATGCCATGCTAGAGTTTATTTGTCTCTCAGCAGAGGTCTGGACAGAATCCCTATGTGCTCAGAGTTCTGCAGTTCTCAGTAACTAAAACAGTTTACCAATGGGAGACAGAGCCCACACAACTACAACTGTTGCTGTCTGTGTGTGAATTGAGTAACGGATTTGCAGTGACTGATTACCAACAGACTTTGAAAGAAGAGATGTGACTTGTCACTGATCATGATGTGCAGCCATTATTAGTGTTATGATTTGTAGGACCGAAGAGCTAGCAGCTGAGTTTGTACTTTATGCGATTACTGACAGTTAATATGAAGTGGTAACTGAAGTTTGAATTATGTTGTTGGGGTACTGGTATTATTTAAACCATGCATCCGTGCAGAGGACTGCCTGTTGAATATAGTGCTGTCACTTTTTTTTTTTTTTAAGATTTTATTTATTTGACAGAGAGATAGCGAGAGAAGGAACACAGCAAGCAGGGGGAATGGGAGAGGGAGAAGCAGGCTTCCCGCTGAGCAGGGAGCCCGATGTGGGGCTCGATCCAAGCACCGCAGGGCCATGACCTGAGCCGAAGGCAGATGCTTAACGACTGAGCCACCCAGGCGCCCCAGTGCTGTCACATTTTATGGGAATTTAAATTGTGCAAATTTAAAATAATGTGAATAAATATTTGAAAGTTGTATGTTATATACAAAGTTTGAAATCGTGCAATTCTCTTAATACTTTAAAAAATTATTGGGAATCATAGGATTTTAAAACTCAAACAACAAACTGAGGTCAGTATTTGTTATTACTATACATAATCCCTTTCACCTTAACCACACAAAATTTAACTCTATCATGTATCAGTCTCCTGTAAGTGCTGTTTATGTGCTTTGAAACATTCATTTTGTGAATGATCTGCAGACTTGTGCTGCTATTTTAATATTCAGTGTTGCTAAAATAAAAATCTTTTTTTTAAACCAACTAACCCAAATATTTACTTAGGAGTGGTATTCATGCTTGTGCTCTAAAACATGCCTGAAAATTGGTAACTTTGGAATAGAATTTTTGTTTTTATTTATTTTTTAAAACACAGAGTTTAAAAAAATAAACACTGAGGTTTTTTTTTTTAAAATATTTTATTTATTTATTTGTCAGAGAAAGAGCGTGAGCTAGCACAAGCAGGGGAAGCAGCAGGCAGAGAAGCTGGCTCTCCACTGAGCAAGGAGACGGATGTGGGACTTGATCCCAGGATGCTAGGATCATGACCTGAGCCAAAGGCAGATGCTTAACAGACTGAGCCACCTAGGCGTCCCAGAATTTTTATTTTTAATACAATTTGAATTTGATGCACTATGCAGTTGAATTGGTAGTTTAATTCTGTTAAATACTCAGAAAATATGAAGCAGAATTAAAACAAAATTTCTCTATCCTATTGGTAGATTTATGCTCTTTGAGAATGTATTTACTGCATTTATTCCAATGGGAAAATTAGTACTCGATTATCTAGAGAGTAAATCTTGCCTTGTCTTCACTTACACATTCCTCACATCACTACTATGTACTATAAATATGTGGGTTTCATTGTTTTGGGGTTTGTTGAATCCTGGTTTTTAAAAAACAGCTTCAACTTCAAAAAACTTAACAAAATCTTTATAATAGACATTTTGGAACAATTGGGGAAATTTGAATATGGAGTTGATATTAGAGGGTTTTTATGGAATTACTGTTAAATTTTATAGGTGTGATAATGTTATTGTGATCATGTAGGAGTATGTCCTTAATCTTAGAAGATATATGATGACATATTCAGTGAAGTGTCACCATAAATGACTATACATTTAGATAGATAAAACAAACATGTTAAAATATAACAGCTGTCGACTCTAGGTGAGGTGTTTATGTCTGCTCATTGAATTCTTTAAAATTTTCTATTTGAAATTATTAGTAAGAGCCAGGATATATATTGACCAAGAAAATGTTTATATTCTTCACTGAAAACATGCTATAATAGTTATGCCCTTAAAATGCTATTTTTGTAACATGTCAGAAGATTGTGCACAGTCATCTAAGGGAGATCGGGCTGTGCGCGATAGTCGTTTTCTTTTAGTTTTTGTCTATTTTTATTCATCTACAACTTTTATGTATTGCATGTAGTTTTGAGAAGCTGGCACCATCATGTTTTATCATCATTACTACTACTGCCAACACCACCACCTCGGTGGTGGGAGAAGCTCTGTCACGGGCTTGCTTTCTTTTTCAAGGCTCGCACTGCGCGTACTCTCGGGTCTTCAGTCCGCGACAGTCTGCGACGGCTGAAAGTAGGCCTCACTCCCCCTGGCGGTTCTCTCCGACGCAGCTCCGGCGCCCCCGTCCTCTCCGGAGCCGGGCTCCTGCCGCGGGGCCTGACGGGAAACGCCCCTCCTGGTCTGCGGCAAGAGTCGCGCGGGAGCCGGGGTGGGCGTTTCGGCGCATGCGCTGCCCGAGCTGGGCCTTGTGCCTGGGCGAGGCGGGGACTGGAGCGCGGTTGGGGCGCGGCGGGTGTTGAGAAAGAGCTGCGCCCGCGGTGGGGGCGGGGTTCGGGCGCGGACTTGGGCTTCAGGTCCCAGCCCGCAAGAGCTGCCCCTGCGGGCGGATCGCGGCGCGACTTTTGTTCGGATACCTGCGCCTGGGGGTTCTCAGGCTGCGGTAGTGTAGGCGGCTCCTGTTCGGAGGCCGCCGCGCGCTCAGTGATTAATGCAGGGAGTCCTCACCGTTCTGCTCTAATAGATTAGGAAACGGAGACTCAAGACAGGCCCGCGAGCGCCTCGGCCCGCGCAGCCCGCGGGAGACGGCGCTAGGAGGCACATCCACAGCTGTCTCCTCTCTAAAAAACGATTCTACTTAAACCCGGCGACCTAGCCCACCCAGCACTGAGCCAGGGGGCATCGCCGTCAAGTATAATGTGGAATCCGGCTTGTCGTGGGGCACTTGTATTTCCGGGATTCTTGGTGTCTTCAGCCTTCTTGGGTCACACTTCATAATGGTTAGTTACGCGTCTAGTCTGAACTGTCCAGCCTGTGTGTCCTCAGTGGTCCTGGTTTGGGTTTTTTGAGGGACCAGCCCAAGATTCCGGGGCGCAGGAAGTTCCAAGATTTGAGACCCTTATAGTTGGTTACAAGTAAAATGATTTTGGCCCTGACGTTCATGTCCCGGTTCCTAGGAACAAAGCAGCTCTCCTAAGGTAGAGGAATCCCACCTGGAAGATAGCCAGTCTGAACGGCGACCTCCCACCAGGGCTGCAGAGCAGAGGAGGACTAGGCCGAGAAAGAGCAGACGCTAGATTTGGAAGGCTAGTAGCAATATGTGATCCTTGTGTTCTGCAAGCCACCCGTCAAACTGTTGACAACCTGAGTCTGAGCCAAGTTTCAGGAGAGGTGAGCTGGGGCTAAGGCCAAAGGGCAAGCCTGCCAAGGACAAGTCACTTCATTTGAGAGTTTGAGAGAGCGTGGTCTGGGGGAAAGAAATACCATCTACCACCAAGAAAATTCTGTATCAGACCTCCCTAACAGCCATTCTTTCAAATGCTCCCCCGAGGGGCTCTCATTACCATACGCAGCATTGAGAGATGTGGTTGCTTCCTCCATTCTGACTTCACAGACTCAGAAAATAGTGTAGGAAAAGAACTTCCTGGATTACCTGTTTCTGCTTACAATGAAAGATGAAAAACACTGAGCTAGAGAGGGTAAATGTCCAGGTCATCCTGTTCATTTGTGGCCTAAGCAATAGTCGGATTTTCAGGTACAGTTAAGTCAAAACGGGTTTTTGTCAAAAGACTGAGAAACTACTGCCAAGGTAGTTACAGACCACAGGATGTTCTCCTACAGGAGGATGTTTTATCCAGCTAGTGAGTGGAGTTTTATAGATGGGAGAATCCAGGAGGTGCAAGGCAGGTCAGATCTCTTGTGATTATTCTTTCTTTCTTCTCCCCTAGCTCCACCTTTGTAGTTCCCTACATGTTTCCTAGTTCCACAGAAAATGAATAGATCTCAGGTGAGTTGTTTATTGTTCTTCTCCCTATTTTGTTTACCGTGACTGTCTGAGCCTTTTAAGGGTCAGTAGGTTAGAATGGAAATATAGAAATAGATGAAAATCAGCTTCAGGGACAGTATCCAGGACTGCATCAATATCAGGAGTAGCATGCAGAAATAGGCAGGTTTTATGATATTGCAGCCAAATTTGTCTGATTTTTCTTTTGTATGTTTTATTTTTATTTTTTCCCCCAAGATTTTATTTATTTACTTTAGAAAGAGAGGATGCATGTGAGTGGGGGGAGAAGAGAGGGAGGAAGAGGGACGGGAAAAGAATCTCAGGCAGACTCCACGTGAAGCCCGACTCTGGGCTGCATCCCACCCCTGAGGTCACGACTCCAGCAGAAACAAGAGTCAGATGCTCAACCTACTGAGCCACCCAGGCACCACTTTATTCTTATTTTTATTTTTTTTAAAGTAGGCTCCACACCCACATGGGGCTTGAACTCACAACTCTGAGATCAAGAGTCGCATGCTCCATTGACTTAGGCAACAAGGTGCCCTTAAATTTGTCTGATTTTTCTGATGGTTATAGCAAAAATGCAGACATTCTTTGTTGCATGATTTGAATTGGTCCTTAAATTGTCATGCTAATTCCTCATAAGACACAAGAGTTCTAAAAAATGTTCCTGCCCTGATTTTCCTGTAGGTAACAGTAAATAATCTTTCAGGGACTATGGGCGATCAATACAGCCTGCTGCCTGTAATTGCTCCTCAAGGGAAGCAGGACACTTTGTGCTGAAGGAGAATTCAGTCAATCCTGGTTTCTACAGGCCCAAGCGCCGTAGTCCCATAGACCTCTTTCTGATGATCCCACTTGATCCAGGCATATAGCCAGGGATGTCTCCAAGAAAGAATGGATTATACCACCTTCAGATAATCTCCTTTAATATTATGAATAGATTGTGCAGCAGATGGATTAAAGTTGTATTTTCTGGCAAATGTTTCCCCATTTCCCTTTCATATTTCAAACCAAATCACTTGTTGGATCTGTCTGGTAAGGGGCAATGGAGATCTTACTATGGCAAATATCTTGGATCCTTTAGTACTTAAGTTGCCTTAATTGAGGTAATACTCAGTGAATTGAGCATTCTGTCCAGTTTTGGTGCTCATGTCCAGTCTCTCCTAGAAAGTCTTCTTGGTTGGTTTCTGGTCTATTCCTCCTTCTGTGATTACTTCTTTTCTGTCTTTTCCATAGTGTCTTCTTCCTCTTCTTGCCTCTTGTTATTGTTTCTCCCACAGTGTCCATTACTGATCTCCCATTGTGCTCACTCTCTTGGTCTTGCTGGCTAATCTCTTCTCTCTGGGGATGTGGCGTTTGCTGGGATGCTTGAATCTGGCTCTCGAGTCCCGATCTCTCCCCTACCCTGGACCCTAATGGCCAACTTGCTGGACATCTCTGTATAGCTTATCTAAAGGCCCTTCAAACTCTACAGATCCAAAAGGAAAGTTGTTATTAACAGCCAGCCCCCCTGCCACCCTTCTTTATTTCCAACCAAATGTTATCACCAGCCAAACCATTGTCCAGGTAAAAAACACAACATTTTTTCTCTCTTTTTTTTAAGATTTTATTTATTTATTTGACAGAGAGAGACAGCGAGAGAGGGGACACAAGCAGGGGGAGTGAGAGAGGGAGAAGCAGGCTTCCCGCTGAGCAGGGAGCCCTATGTGGGGCTCAATCCCAGGACCCTGGGATCATCACCTGAGCTGAAGGCAGACGCTTAACGACTGAGCCACCCAGGCGCCCCCTCTTCCTTTTTTAATGAAATTGAAATAAAGTGCACAAATCCTAAGGGTACAACTTGATGAATTTTTCATATGCTCTGCATCTGGCTAGCTATCACCCAGATCAAGGTAAGAGTTATTTTCTGCAATGTGAAGGCTTCCCTTGTGTTCTTTCCAAGACAATACTTGCCCACTCTCACTTAATGGTAACCATTATTTTGACTTCTATTATCATATATTAGTTTTGTCTAATTCTAAACTTCATATAAATAGAATCATGCAATATATATTCTTTTGTGTCTTTTTTTTTTTTTAAGATTTTACTTATTTATTTGACTGAGAGAGTGAGCACAAGCAGGGGGAGCATCAGGCAGAGGGAGAAGCAGGTTCCCCACTGAGCAGGGAGCCCAGGACCCTGGGATCATGACCTCAGCCGAATGCAGATGCTTAACCCTTAACCGACTGAGCCACCCAGACGCCCCTGGTCTGACTTCTTTTATTCAGTGTTATGTCTGTGAGATCATCCATGGGTAGCACTAGTTTGTTTTTTTTCCCCTTGTGTGGCTATACCACAGTTTATCCATTCTCCTCTGGATGGATATTTGGGCTTTTTCTAATTCTGGCTTTTGTACATGTCTTTTGGTATACATATGCTCTTGATTTTGAAGGATCTCAACCTAGAAGTGGAATCGAGGGGTCATAGAACATATATATGTTTGGCTTTTACAGATTCTGCCAGATGGTTTGACAAAGTAGTTGCACTACTTGACACTCCCACCAGCCATACACCAGTCCTGTTGCACCCTAGCCTTGACACTTGACACTTGACAGCATTTGGTATTGTTTGTGAGGTGGTTTTCTTTTTTCTTATGAATTTGGTGGGTGAGTGTAGTGGTATCTCATTGTGATTTTATTTTGCACTTCTCTGAAGAGCGATGATGTTGAGCATCTTTTCATGTTAACTGACCATTTTGATATCTTTTTTTAAATTATTTTTTCTTTCTTTCTTTCTTTGTCAGAGAAAGAGAGAGACAGCAGGCAGAGGGAGAAGCGATGTGGGGCTCGATCTCAGACCCTGGGACCATGACCTGAGCCAAAGGCAGACGCTTAACCGACTGAGCCACCCAGGTGTCCCTTGATATCTTATTTTTTTGAAATGTGTTTCAGTCTTGTCCATTAAAAATTTTGACAGTTTGTCTTTGCTGTATTAACTTATAGGAGTTCCTCGTATGTTCTAGATATGAGTCCTTTGTCAGATATGGGTCCTGCAAATATCTTCTTTGAGACTTGTTCTGAATTTAATTAAGTCCAATTTATCAATCTTTTCTTTAATGGTTAGTGCTCTGTGTGTCCTATTTAAAAAAAAAAATCTTTGCCTATCCAGAAGTCATAAGGGAATTCTCCTATGTTTTCTTTTAAAAGCTCAAATTGTTTTACTTTCACATATTTAAGTGTATGATCATTTTGAATTATTATATACATATACATATATCTTTCTCTTTCTTTTTCTTTTTTTTTTTTGGCATGAGCTATTGCTAACCAGTTCCTGCAGTACAATTTATTGAAGACCTTCCTTTCCCAACAGAATATTGTCGAAAATCATGTGACCACATATATGAGCATTTATTTTTGGATTTTTTTTTTAAAGATTTTATTTATTTGAGACAGAGAGAGAGTGCATGTGAGAGAGAATGAACATGGGGAGAGGCAGAGGGAGAGGGAGAAGTAGACTCCCTGCTGAGTAGGGAGCCTGATGTGGGGCTCAATCCGAGGACCCTGAAATCATGACCTGAGCCAAAGGCAGACGCTTAACCGACTGAGCCACCCAGGTGCCCTGGATTTTTTTTAAGATTTATTTATTTATTTTAGAGAGACAGAGAGGGAGAGAGAGAGTGGGGGGAGGGGCAAACGGAGAGAGAATCCTGAAGCAGACCCCTTGCTGAGCGCAAAGGCCCATGCAGGGCTCAGTCCCATGTTCCGTGACCCTGAAATCATGAACTGAGTTGGTCATAACTGACTGATCCAGCCAGGCGCCCCTCTTTTTGGATTTTTATTTCCATTGCAGTTGTCTCTTTGTCTAGCTCATGCCAGTAGTACCCTGCCCTTACTATTGTAGCTTTATAAAAAATTCATATCTGTGGGTATAAGTTCTCTACTTTCATTCTTCAAGATTTGCCTTGGCTACTTTAAGTCCTTTATATTTCCATATCAATTTTATAATAATCTGGTCAATCCCCCCCACCCCCAATCTGCTGGAATTTGGTATTGCATTGAATCTAGAGATTGATTTGGCACACTGGTCATATTAATATAGACTTGAATTTTCAATTCACGAACATGGCATTTCTCTTCATTTACTTAGTTTTTTTTTTTTTTCTCAGCAATGTTTGATAAATACCATGTATGCATCTTATACTTTTTTTGTTAGATTTATCCTTAGGTAGTTGACAATTTTTCTCTTTATTTGTGTATTGCTAATATATAGAAATATAGTCAATTTTTGTATATTGAACTTGTTTTCAGTGACCCTGCCATTTATTAACTCTCATATTTGATCTGTAGATTATTTTGGATTTTCTACCTACACAACTATGTTGTATGACTTTTTCATTCATTTTTAAACTTTATTTTCTCTCTTTATTGTTGTGGCTAGGAGCTATAATGTACTATGGAATAAAAATAGTACATCCTGTTGTCTTCCCAGTCTCAAGGGAAAGTTTTCATATTTTATCATTTTGTTTGATGTTTGCTGTAAGTTTTTTGGTAGATATTCTTTGGAAAGTTTCATTCTGTTCCTAATTTGCTGAGAGTTTTTATCATCCAATGGGTGTTGATTACTGAGATGATTATATTAAGGTTTTCTTCTTTATTCTTTTAATGGGTTGATTAATATTAACATATTGATTGAGGTAGTTTTTTTGGATTGAGGTAATTCTATTAATGTTTTGATTTTCAAATGTTAAACCAGCCTTTTTTTTTTTTTTTACGATTTTATTTATTTATTTGTCAGAGAGAGACACAGCGAGAGAGGGAACACAAGCAGGGGGAGTGGGAGAGGGAGAAGCAGGCTTCCTGCTGAGCAGGGAGCCCAATGCCGGCTTGATCCCAGGACTCTGGGATCATGACCTGAGCAGAAGGCAGACGCTTAACGACTGAGCCACCCACGTGCCCCTAAACCAGCCTATTTTTAGGGGGGAAAAATCCCACTTGATCTTGACATTGTCACCTTTTAAATTGCTTACAATTTTTGTCTTTGTCTTTGTTCATGAGAGAGACTGTTATTTTCCTTTCTTATAATGTCTTTGTTAGGTTTTATATCAATTTTATACTGGCCTCAAAAAACTTGAGTATTTTTTCATTGTCTGTTCTCTGGAAGTGTTTGCATAAGGCTGGTTTTATTTATTTCCTAATTATAAAATTAAGTGAATTTATCTAGGGTCTGGATTTTCTTTATGGAGTTTTAAATTATAGATTTAATTTCTTTATATTCGGAAAATTGTCCTTTAGAACATGATGAAAGTTGCTGTTGTTTCTTCCCGGTTTGTCATTTGTCATCCCCAGGTAGGGAATAGGTGCTTTTTGTTCCAGGGCAAAGCATGGCTCACACACACCAGTTAAGATAACAAGAGTCACACAAAGGGTTTCTTACAGTTGGCTTTGCTTTCTGGCTTTATTTCCCCCAGAGCTGATCTTCTAGGAACCAGTCAACAATGGTGTTAATTTAGCATCCTGATATGAACTGAAAGCCTTAATCTTATCCCTGTCCCTTAATATTTTTAGTCAAGGTCAGCAATGACCTCTATTGCTGAATCCAATGGTGAAAGTCTCAGTCTTCTTACTTGGTCTTTTATTTTTTTATTTTTATTTTTTAATGCTTAACCGACTGTGCCACGCAGGTGCCCCCTTACTTGCTCCTCAGCCACATTTGACACCACTGGTTTCTTTTTCCTTCTTCTTCTTTTTAAGATTTTATTTATTTATCTGACAGAGAGAGAGAGAGAGAAAGAGCGCACAAGCAGGGAGGAGGAGCAGAGGGAGAGGGAGAGGTATGTGGGGCTTGATCCCAGGCCCCTGGGATCATGACCTGAGCCTAAGGCAGATGCTTAACCGACTGAGCCACCCAGGTGCCGCTGCTTTTTTCTTCTGATTCACTTTATTCACTTGGCTTTCACACTCCATTAATGTTCCTTCGCTCTCCTGTTTGCTGGTTTCTCCTTTTCCTCCTATCTCTAAATGTTGGTGTGCTCCAGGGCGTGGTCCTTGGTCCTCGTCCTTCCTTTATCAGAGGGCCCTCCCTTGATGATCTCGTCTGTTCTTATCTGCTGATAATCTGTGGCTCGCACATCTCTTCCTGCACTTGAGATGCGTTATCTAATTGTCCAATCTGTATCTCCACTTGAATGTTTAGTAGACTCAAGTTCAACCTGACTAAAACTTACCTCCTGGGCTTCCCCTCCCAAACCTGCTTCCTCTGGTGCCTTCTCCTTGATTAATAGCAGACCCTTTGGAATCATCCTTGACATGTTTGTTTTTTTTTTTTAAAGATTTTATTTATTTATTTGAGAGAGAGATAGACAGAAGAGCACAGCAGAGGGAATGGCAGAGGGAGAGGGAGAAGCAGGCTCTGCACTGAGCAGGGAGCCCGATGCGGGACTTGATCCCAGAATCCTGGGATCATGACCTGAATCAAAGGCAGACACTTAACCATCTGAGCCACCCAGGCACCCCTGACATGTTTTTTCTTGTGCTCCATATCTTATTTGTCAGCAAAATCACGGGGCCCTGTATCTAAAACATATCTAGAGTCTGACCTCTTCTGATCTTCTCTGCTGCAATTACCCTCACCAGGCCAGAATAATTGGTCTGGTCTTGTCTGGATTACAGAAATAGTCACAGAGCAGGTCTTGCTGCTTCTCAATCCTGGCCCCTCAACACAGCATCCAGAGTGCTCCTTGTAGAATGTGAGTCAGTTATTTTATGTCACTCCTCTGTTCAACATCTACATTTTTCTCTGAGTAAAAGCCAAGTTCTTACACTGGGTTATGTGGCCCATTTTTGATCTGATCTCACCTCCTTAGCCGCTTGATCCCTCTGCTCCAGCCCTACTTGCTTTCTTGCTGTTCTAGAAACATACATGCACAGTGCCACCTTCATCCTTGTACCAAATGTACCTTGTGCCTGGAGTGTGCTTTCTCCAGGGAGCCTGGTGGTACACTCCCTTTCCTCCTCAGGACCTTGCTCAAATGTCATTGCTCAGTGAGGTCCACATGAACTCCCAGCTTAAAATTGCCACACTAACCTCGTGTTCCCCTTGCCGTAAGTTTGGTCTACTTTGTATTTTTAACATAGCACTTTTCGGGGCACCTGGGTGGCTCAGATGGTTAAGCGTCTGCCTTCGGCTCAGGTCACGATCACAGGGTCCTGGGATCGAGTCCCACATCGGGCTCCTGGTTCAGCGAGGAGCCTTGCTTGTCCCTCTGCCTCTCTCCCTGCTCATGCTTTCTCTCTCTCTCTCTCTCTCTCTGTATCTCTGTGTCTCAAATGAATAAATAAAATCTTTTAAAAAAACAAAACATAGCACTTTTCATCTAACATACTCTACAGTGTCTTTATTACTATATTGTTTATCTTCTGTTTTCCCTAGGCTAGAGGAGGTGAACTTTGTTTTTCACTCTTGTATCCCAAGTGCCCAGGACAGTGGAACATAATAAGTATTGAAAAATCATTAAATGCAAAAAAATCATTCAGTGAATGAGTGAGTGAATTTTTATGTGTTGGTTTGTTTTTAGATGTCTCGTTTGTAAGCTCCGTGTAGTTTAGTCTTTTTAATCCAATTTAATACAGACTTATATATGTTATTATTTGAGTGTTTCCTTTGTTTTATACTTATTCACTCAAATATATTTTTTATACAGTGTGAGGTCTAATTTCTTTAACAGATAACTTCATTTATAATTATGGCAACCTCATTCAATAAGTTAATCACCCTTTGCCTCAAATTTAAATTGTGACTTTACGGGGCGCCTGGGTGGCTCAGTTAAGCGTCTGCCTTGGGCTCAGGTCATGGTCTTGAAGTCCTGGGATCAAGCCCCGCGTCGGGCTCCCTGCTCAGCGGAAAGCCTCCTTCTCCCTCTCCTGCTCCCCCTGCTTGTGCCCTCTCTCTCTCTCAAATAAATAAATAAAAAATCTTTAAAAGAAATTGTGACTTTACTATGTGTTAAGACATACATAAGACTATTAAGACTGTACTTCTGGACTTCTACTTGCTGCTGACATATTTTATTTTTGATTTGAGGAGCTCTGTAATAAATAGCAGTATCTAGCAGGGCAAGCACCGTTTACAGTTTTTGCTTTGGACATACTTATTTCCCCCCGTTTGAATTTAAAAAGTTATATCCAGTGGATCTCCCCCCTGTCTTGTAAAAAAATATTTAAGCACAGTAATAATAAAAAATTGGTTGGCTAAATTGTCTTAAACTTTTAGGTTGATTTTTTTTTTAAGATTTTATTTATTTATTTGAGAGAGAGAAAATGAGAGAGAGAGAGAGCACATGAGAGGGGGGAGGGTCAGAGGGACAAGCAGACTTCCCGCTGAGCAGGGAGCCCAATGCGGGACTTGATTCCGGGACTCCAGGATCACGACCTGAGCCGAAGGCAGTCGCTTAACCAACTGAGCCACTCAGGCGCCCTTTTAGGTTAATTTTTATGGCTCAGCATTTTGGTAAGTCTTAGATCTCAGGAACATTGTTTTATGTCCTACATGAACATTTTATTTTCCTTAAGATTTTATTTATTTATCTGAGAGAG